GAAGTTGCATGAGTTGTTAATATTTGGTATAGGTGGCATAAGAGGAGAAATTCATCTCAACATGCTTGTAAACTTCTTCTTCACACAGGAAAAGAGAAATCATGTTGGCAAATGGTGATAGATGTTAACCAAAGGCGAAGTTTCTTCCTTGCTGCTCTTAAATCATTCTTGCATGTTGAAGTTGACATTACTAATAGATAAGATGTAGACTAATCAAACACTGCAGGATTGTGCACTCTGGAGTTATGAATGCTGCGTTCCTGTTGTGCCTTCCAGTCTATAATTGAATGCTTTCTTTTGGAACAACCTTCGACATTTGGCATCGCAATGTGGACTTTTAAAAGGGTGAGTCGAAAGTGATGGTAATGTGACGAGGCTAATGAACAATTTAGTTTTGTCGATGCTTACCGCAAGTCTAAAGTACAGTACTTACATGTAATTCTTATTTAGTAGTTCCTTGGGCATTATACTGTAGCTTATACTGTAGCTTTATACAGGGTGTATAAAAAAAGGAGACCATTAGAAAACAAGCATATTGTTAAAACTTGAATGCCTTTTCAATTGCACATATGCTTAACCGTAGTGCGTGAAATATTGATGGAGTGCATATATTAGAAAAAGGAGACCTTTAGAAATTGAAATAACGTTTAAACAAAAGATTGCCTGCTCCTGGGAACAATCTGCCATGCATACTGTACGTAGATCGCATGTTACGCACTTGTGGGCTTAGCAAAGTGCTCCGAGGATTCAAATTACAACAATGGTTGATTTCTAAAGGTCTCCTTTTTCTAATATATGCACCCATCAATATTTCACGCACCACGGTTTAGCAAATGTGCAATTGAAAAAGCATTCAAATTTTAACAATATGCTTGATTTCTAAAGGTCTCCTTTTTTTTTATACACCCTGTATATCCAGCTATCCGTATACAGGGTATCCCCAAAAAAACGAAAACCATTGAAATCACTTATTGTTAAAATTGAATGCTCTATCAAAAAGCTGAACGTAATGATGCGCAAAATATTGACAAGGTGCATGTATTAAAATTTTGTTAAGAACATCTCCTTGTAAAGTTTGCGATTTTCTGCTCTTGGGAATTTAAAGCAGCTTCTTAAATAGTTTCTTCATGTACATAAAATTTACTTATGTCAATCACTTATGCACTCGTGGGAACCAATAGAGTGCTTAGGCATTCAAATTCTAACAATTAAATTGTTATTGGTGATTTCAATAGTTTTCGTTTTTTTGGGGACACCCTGTATATCTACAGTATCTATCTGCAGTTTATTACGGTTTTTTTGACCATCCATGCTGCATCATTGCTGCATGGATGGTCATAACATAAATATAACACGAGTTATATGTACGTTAGTATGCATTAAACGATTCTGCTTGGGTCTGGCAATTATCCAACCAACAAGACAGTTGTTCGGCCATCAGTAAAGAATGGTCGGTCAATCTTTACATTCTATAGTTTTACGTGCGGAGCCTAAATTATAGGCTAGGTCTACGGGAGTACCTTTGCCATAATAATTAAAAAAGTGAAACGTTTTTATTTCGTCGTTTTTATCACTTACAAAACCGCAGGAGACCCAGGCTCTATTTGCCCGCGCCCGCCTGTGTCTTCCTTAAGGCAATTTTCCATTGCAGTCGCTTTGCCCGCGCGGGCGGAGCGTTCATTGTTTTTGAAGCCCGTCACGCCCGCGCGAGCAGATTTTCAAAGTCCGCTCCGCCGGCACGGGCAAAGCGACTGCAATGGAAAATTGCCTTTATAACGAGAGAAGGAAGGAGACGTTGAGACCAAAATAGCCCAGACTTGGCATATGTCACACAAAACTATCCTCGATTTTTCGCCTTTAATGCATTTTTCACGATTAATCGATATCCCCTTCAAAATGATACCGTATAACTCTCAAAACAACCTGTACCGGGTTTGCTGTGCAAAAAGCGGAAGTTGAAAAATTTGAAATGTTTGTTGATATTCGCTGTCCAATCAGAGTTGAGTGAATTTTGAGTTCTACTTCAGAACTATCCTCAGAGATACGAAAAACTAGTTTCATATTAATCTGACACTGCAATCGAGCAACGAAAAATTCGTTGGCTCGACAAGCGTTGACGTTGCCAAGCGCGACGTTGACAAGCGTTAAGTTGTCACGAAAATATTTCGTGCACTTAAATTGGATAAGACTCGCTACCAATCCCTGTTGGCTCGATAGCTCAATTGGTAGAGCGGCGGTGTAGATACCCGAAGATGCGAGTTCAAATCCCGCTCGAGCCAACGAATTTTTTGTTGCTTGATTGCAGTGTCAGATTAATATGAAACTAGTTTTTCGTATCTCTGAGGATGGTTCTGAAATAGACTACTTGAGATATAGCCAAGAGAATGTTTTGAGATATGATATATAGAGAGTGAATGTTTGGAAAATTTATACAATGAATTGCTTACCCTCCCCATTTCATACAACCTCCTTGCTACATTGTTCTAGAAGTTACATGAGTTGTTAATATTTGGTATAGGCGGCATAAGAGAAGAAATTAATCTCAACATGCTTGTAAACTTTTTCTTCACACAGGAAAAGAGAAATGATGTTGGCAAATGGTGGTAGATGTTAACCAAAGGCGAAGTTTCTTCCTTGCTGCTCTTAAATCATTCTTGCGTATTGAAGTTTACATTACTAATGGATAAGTTGTAGACTCATCAAACACTGCGGGATTGTGCACTCTGGAATTATGAATGCTGCGTTCCTGTTGTTCCTTCCAGTCTATAATTGAATGCTTTCTTTTGGAACAATCTTCGACATTTGGCATCGCAATGTGGACTTTTTAAAGGGTGAGTCGAAAGTCATGGTAACATTACCATGGGTGTGACTAAAGGGAGAGTTACCAACCGGAGAGTTATCTCGGAGAGTTATGATTTCGGAGAGTTATGGTCGAACTACGCCCAAACCACGCCCACTTTCCCCAATGACCACACCCAATTTCGTAACTCTCCCGACGTTTCCTTGAAGTAACATGAGAGAGTTATGTTTGACGTAACTCTCTCTCGTTAACATTATGAAAATGTTAGAGAGTTATCATTTTTTATAACTCTCCGCGTTCACGATTGTGGCAATGAAGAGAGTTATGTCAGTTTTTTTGAGAAAACCTTTAAATAACAAAATTTGTTTCTTCAGATTTTCATCTTATATTTTGGTATTTCAGTTTGTAGCGTGTCAATAGCGTGCGTCCAAACAGGAAATAGTACAACTTGACTCGGTCAAAACAATGAGATGCTTGCCGCAGAAGGGTCAAAGTACCCCCAGAAGCATGTTTTGACGTGTATTTGGCAGTAAATACGGTAAGCATAGTTGCAAGAAAATTGAAAAAAATGCGAAAATTGATCTTTCAGAAATTCAGGTTTTGCAAATATTTTCCCATATCAGCCAATATAGGGCATTACATTGGAAAGGTTTTCTGGTTCTATCTAATACGAGAGCTGTATCTGAATGTTGGGCTTTGTAGGTAATCCAAGTGAGCATGTATAATAATTTATTTACTGGTACTCGCTTCACTTGGTAAGTACTAAAGCACTACTAGTTTCTACTAGCGTGGAATATTAAAGCTGAAACTTGAGAAAAAAGTAAATTCAGAATAATTTACTAAAATGTGGAAGTTTTTTTCAAAAAACTGACATAACTCTCTTCATTGCCACAATCGTGAACGCAGTGAGTTATAAAAAATGATAACTCTCTAACATCTTCATAATGTTAACGAGAGAGAGTTACGTCAAACATAACTCTCTCATGTTAGTTCAAGGAAACATCGGGAGAGTTAAGAAATTGGGTGTGGTCGTTGGGAAAAGTAGGCGTGGTTTGGGCGTGGTTCGAACATAACTCTCCGAAATCATAACTCTCCGAGATAACTCTCCACTTCATAACTCTCCGTTTAGCCGGTCTCCATTACCATTACGAGGCTAATGAACAATTAACAAATATAAAACATTTCCCGTGTTGATATACAGTTATATAAAGACGCCCGAAATTTTTTTATATTAATATAGCAATATCATATTATGAGGCGCCAAATATGACAAAATAGATCATAGTTGTGTGATATATAATACTGCAAATATTTACAGTATAACTCGTGATGAATATGTTACTCTACCAAATATATAAATATTGAAAGCGTGTGATATACATTACAAATCATGGTTTATATCACAACTCGTGATATAGATCACAATTCACAATGCAGCTCGTGATATAGGTTACAAATCATGGTTTATACCACAACTCGTGATATAGATCACAATTCACAATGCAGCTCGTGATATAGGTTACAATTTCGCGTTCGGAATTACTTCATCTTATGACCCATATAGTGGACGGAAGGCTATTTTATATTCAGGGGGGGGGGGAGACATTACATTGGACATATTCATTGTTGATGCTTCGCGCCTTCGCTTCAATTTTGATGACAATGGCCGACACTCGTGGAGATGTCGAATCTGTTGTTCAAAATGTGGCAAACAGTCCTCAGTTTCGGTCGCTTGTAGCAGATGTTATCGAAAGCTCAAATTACACCTATCAATTACCAAGTAAAAACTTTACATACAGTACATGCTAACTTCAATTACGATATTTCTACAATGGATTTACATAAAAAGACACAAAACAACGCACGCATAATACGCGTGCACCTTTTATACAATATTTCACGGCATGGTCTAATTTCAAGACCCCGTCGAAAAATTATAAAAGAAATCCATTAGATATCTAAATAATGATTATAAGTAAACAACAGGTCCAAGACGCATGTAGAGGTCCTATTACCTATTCCAAAATTAAAATAATTGACGACGCGCCTCTGTAATTTGATTTGGAATATTTCTCAAGAAAGCTTCGATGTTGATTTCTGGGCTTGTATTCATGGCGCCATTTTGAAACCCTGAAAACATTTTTAAATTTGAAACATCCGCCCCCCCCCCTCCCCCCGGAATATAAAATAGCCTTCCGTCCAGGGTCTTAGCTAGAGGGCCGTGTTGGCCGTGTTATCGCGGCCAAAAATGGAAAAACACGGCTAGATAAAATGAACGCGGCTTCATTATTTATATAAGGCCGTGTAGGTTCATAAAATAAGATGGTGCTACTTAGAACAGACAGAATTTCTTTCTATTTACGTCATAAGAAAGTTTGTAAAATGTTGAATTTGCCAAAAGTGATCCATGATGTTTTAATGTTTTGATGGATAATGGGAACCGTATGCATGGTGTTAATTGTTAAAGTGGTTTTAAATACCCCCAAGAGTTGCTGAAATAACTTAATATTTTAATGTCAGTGCGCAATATATATGAGCGTATGCTCGCCTTGTATTTGGTTGCAAAGCAAAGAACAACCACAGGCATTGTCCATTGTTGTAGAACCGTGAATTTGGCTATTCAAGGTAATTGACATGTGCACACCCTGGTCATTTAGAAACACGCCCAGGATCTAAAATCCTAGCTAAGACCCTGCTTCCGTCCACTATATGGGTCATAAGATGAAGTAATTCCGAACGCAAAATTGTAACCTATATCACGAGCTGCATTGTGAATTGTGATCTATATCACGAGTTGTGATATAAACCATAATTTGTAACCTATATCACGAGCTGCATTGTGCATTGTGATCTATATCACGAGTTGTGATATAAACCATGATTTGTAATGTATATCACGCGCTTTCAATATTTATATATTTGGTAGAGTAACATATTCATCACGAGTTATACTGTAAATATTTGCAGTATTATATATCACACAACTATGATCTATTTTGTCATATTTGGCGCCTCATACAATGTCAAGAGGATAAGAAAAATTCCCGTGTTTACAAGCGGCGGAAAATTTCCCGTGTTGACATTGAGTTATATCAACACAGCTCTTAGTCAATCAGTGTTTGGAATTTACAAATGCTATATTATAATTTAGTTTTGTCGATGGTTACCGCGAGTTTAAATTGCAGTACTTACATGTAATTCTTCGTTGACCTGCATCTAAGGACAAAAGCGGACTTATATTAATTTATGCAATGTTCTTTCGTCAAAATTCAAGATCTGATTTGTTATGTTAGTGAATATGTGCTAATGCGACTTAAAACAACTTATAAAGCAACTCATGTATGCATATTATTTGTTATGATATGAATTAAATTATTGCTTGCTTTGCAAATTCCATTCCTGGGCCAATATTATAGGTGCATATGCAGAAAGCGAGTATAGTATATCTAGCTGGAGTATATTAGTAAATATGTGACTGATAACTTGAATTATAATATAGCATTTGTAAATTCTGAACGCTGATTGGCTGAGAGCCGTGTTGTTGTAAACACGGACATTTTTCTTATTCTTCGGGCTTTTGACATTGAGCTATATTATAAAACAAATATAAAACATTTTTTCCGTATTGATATATAGTTATATCAACACTCGTGGAAGTTGGGGAAACTCGAAATTGTATGAAAACACTCCGCCCTTCGGGCGTCGTGTTTCCACACAATTTCTCGTTTTCCCAATTTCCACTCGTGGTGATATAACTGTATATCAATACGGAAAATGTTTTATATTTGTTAAACAGTATTGTGTTTCGCCCAGATTGGGTTTGACAAGTATTTTTGGTACGGCATGGCTGTTTATGCATTCAAATGCACAATCTGTTATTGTAGGTGGATTTCATTAAGTAATTATACAAGGGGAAACACAATTTTCCATGCATGTATTGAAGAGTTATACCTGCATTGCTATTGGGGCCTGTCATAGTTGTATATGATCTAGCCGTGCAAAACTCTTATATTCGCTATTGACAGATATTTTAAAGCAAATTGTATTTTTGGTCTACAAGTAACTAGTGCAATCTGTTATTGTGACTTTAGGACTTTAAATATATGTATATATGCAACTATGATATTGTAAGTTGTTATAGCTAACTATGCAACCCAATGACAGTATTATAGCAATGATGCACATGCATGCAGTAAAGCAATTATTACATGTAAATGCAAATGATTTGATAGTTGAAATATTTCCACATCCTTATACAGTACGAATTCCCTTGTGTATGTATGAATTCCCTTGTGACCAGGTTACTGATCTGCAAAACATCAACTGATAAACTGTATACATGCATGTAGTCATTCAGTCACACTTCTTTCTATATCTGAGAAGAGCGTGCTGACCATCTTCTCTTCGAATCTCCCCACGAGAAATGTTTGCGTACATCAGTATAACTATAATTCGTTACGATAGATCGAGCTATAAGTTTGAAAGACCGGCCGCTTTAACTTGACGCATGACACATGTATCGACATTCAATTTATTCAGGATCATTACTCCCGTTCAGTCACAACCAATAACTTAACCAAGTATTTTGCCTAAGCATGCAAATTCAAAAGCGCAAACCAATAGAAATCAGCGATTTTGCTTATGCTTACGTCTCGATTATGATATTATATATATGTCTCGATTATGATATATATATATATATATATATATATATATATATATATATATATATATATATATATATATATATATATATATATATATATATATATATATATGGACCGGTGAATAACATATACAGTATGTATAGGGCTGATTAGCCGGGCCGCAACTGATAATCCGATTGACTATATTGAGTCTCTAGGTGACTGCATGCTGATTCAGGTCTTCGGTCCGACCTGAATGAGCATGCAGTGACTGCACTTCAAGTGATGAAATGTTGTCCATCGGACCGCAGTTCCCTGCATGCCAGTAATTAATTATCTTAATATTGCATTTCTTCACACAAATGGGTTACAAATCTATATGGGTGACATGTGTAGCTATATACAGGAATGTCCATTTTACTAATTAACAGTCTGAGACTTTATACAACACGCTATTGTAGAAACGCAGATTGGTGTACATGATTATTGGGAGCTGGGTTGGGTTTTATAATTTTTTACTTTTTTGCCAAGGTTTTTATCCCTTAAATTATTAGCCAACGCATTGGTGTGTTGGCTAATAACCACAAGACTTTAATGCACTGGCTAAAGTCTTGCGAATGAACAGTGCACGTGGAAACTGTGATAAAAAATAATTGCGCAAAAAGGGAGCTATTGTATGTATACACGTGAAGGAAAAACCTTCATGATAATTTCTGATTTGTTAAGCCAAATTTGCATCAGTTGTTCACATGCTTGGTAGTCAAAGTTCGATTTTTACACGATATTTTGTAATATATTAACAGGACTAGAAAACGGTTCCCTTGTTCTATACCGAGGTACGAATGAAAACACAATCGGGCAAATAGAGTTTCCTAGAACATATTACTATACTAACCGCAATTTATAGCTTTACTTAAATTGATTATTTTATATATAGGGCACAGTTGACAAAATTCAAAGGGAACGACACTGTAATAACAACGTATACACTGTATAGCAGAGAAAAACCAGCAAAACTCTACGAGCAGCTGTTCAACATGTTTCAGGCAGAAATTTCTTCATGTCATATAGATGGATGTAGTGGATGTGAGCGGCTGGGCGGCTAATTCATGTGGTGTGACTTGTCTATCATTGGGAGTGAAGTGCTTGATCTTCGAGAAGTCGCAGATTTAGGCTATATATATAATTGCATTCATGATCGGTCTGCAGAGAATACGAAGAGGTATTAGACAGATAATGTACAACAAAATACTCTGGGGTATGGGTTATCCATATGAGTATATGGGGCAATATAGGATTGTCTGCAAATTTCCTGATAAATATTTTAAACGAACTAATTTCGCACAATGGAAACAGTGCATGTCATTGTCATTGAATCATTTATATTTCGGTTTTTTGTAAGCATATGTATATTGCTAGCTGGACCAATATTTTAGAAGTACTATTAATATATTGCCAGTAACTATATGTTAGTTACTAAGACAGACTTTGGCAATATAATAATGTGAAATACTTAATAAATGTCATTGCATGATATGCGTCATTTATACCAAGTATATATGATTGATGCGCATGTGACATGCATACAGTACATTGTTGCGTATATGACATTCATTTACTACTGTAAGTACTATTTAAAAGTGACAACTCACAATTGGAGCATAAATGTGTAACTTAATATTGAGCTGTCTGCATGTGCCAGTGTATAAGTAGTCTTGCCAATAATAATAAATAATATAAACAAGAT